GCTGGAGCTTCCTTGGCCTCACGGCAGAAGGGTGGTGATCGTCTTCCCTAGTTGCAGGATGGAGCTCTGAGCTTGTCTACTGAGGCCTTGTACTGGAGAGGGAGATGGAGGAGGATCAGGAGAGCATTGCTGCTGCCATCATTGCTCAGCAGAAAAGTGGAGCTGGATGTGGAGATCCCCAGCGATGGCAGCCTGAGGAGGTTCAATAGTGCCCCCCATATTAACAGGCTTAGGTGAGGCTGGGGGTACAGGTAGGGGGAAGGAGGGGGGACTGTGTATTGTATGTATTGTATGGAGCATCAGAAATCAGGTGACTGTGGACGATTTTTTTTAAATATTCTTCTGCTAACCAGGTCTGCAGTGAAGTCACAGCATGAAAGGTGGTTGTAAATCTCAGACATGAAATATGAACAAAGCACATCCCTCTAAAGTGTGTTTGTCTCAGGTAAGAGCACTAAGTGTCATTTCTGCCTGCTGCTTTGTCCCTCTGCTATTAGCATGAATGATTTCTGACAAGTGACACCCAGGGAAAAAATGGTGACGGGGAGGAACTTCCAGCAGATTGACAGCCTCAGCTCTGTTCCTGTGTGCTGTGTGGAAGGGGCTTTGTCTCTTCCCTCCACTAAGCTCTCAGTGCTCTCCTCACCGAGTTCTGCAGAGTGTAATTTCAGCTCTCCGCCTCATTTTTTTCTGAACTCTCAGACAAGCTTCAACACTTTGAATAGATGTAGAGAAGACTGCAGATAGACAGGTATAACTTGTGTATGAGAATTTGTTTCATCTCTGTGTATCACCTGAGGCCAGTCACTTCACTGGATGCTGTATATATGTAAGGGTTTACAACCACTTTAAAAGGTCAGTGATACAGGTACTTCTGCTGTATAGCCTGGCTTCCTAGTAGGTATCAAGCTGCCTACACAGGTAACTTAAACAGGGAGTAATTTGCTGCAAAAAAAAATTAAAAATTGGGCCATTGCAGGATAGTGTCATAATGTGCTAGTATGCATAGCATAGTAGCAAATTATGATGAAGAATTACCTTAAGGGCTCGTTCACACCATGGTGCAGAGACGTCAGTTTTTCTGCACGCTTTCTGCAAGGGCACAACAAAATCAATTGTTCTCTATGTGCCCTGTTCACACCACAACACTGGTATCAAGTACAGATTTTTTCTGTGCAGGAATCTGCAACCTGCATAAAACTCATTGAGGCTTGCATGAAAACTGATGTCTCTGCAAGTGAAATCTGCGCATCAGTTTTCTTCAGTTTTCATGTACATATGGTGTGAACGAGCCCTAAAACGAAGCCCTCCAAGGTTTCCATCTTCACCAGGTCTTCATTCTGTGTTGGAGGGCTTTGGCCGTTTGAATGGCTGAGCCGTGATGACATCACTCCCACGTATGCTCACGGGAGTCATGGCCATGGCACAGAGCTCTGAATGAATGGCATCCTTAATTCAGAGCACACGTGGGTAATCTCACTGGTTGCCACTAAAGTAAATATCTCCTAAATGTTGCATGTTTAGGAGATATTTAATGTACCTACAGATAAGCCTTATTATAGGCTTTTCTGTAGGTATAAATCAAAAAAGCGGACTTTATTACCACTTTAATCGTGGACACATGCACTGCTAGGGTATAGTAAAAGGTCACAGGAGGTCCAGCCACATGGATTAACATGGCCTAATCTCTCACCATCCACTGATCTCAGTAACCAATCTGCCTAATCTGCCTTATAAACTTCTCATAGACTATACCTATCTATGACAACTTTTTTTTTTTCACTCGATTGGCACCGTAACTACAGCAAATCCTGCTAGGAATACAGGCATTTGTCTTAGCCTTATACATGGGCCTAGATTTTTCTCAATATATAACTATTTCTGCCCAACCTTATGTTGATAAACTAATAAAAAGATGAAGCTAATAAAAAGAATTGTGTTATTACTTTGCTTAGGTTCAATGTATTCTGGTTGTCAAACAAACCTTTACAGTAAAATAACTTGTATATGGTTAAACATAATGTACAATTCTTAAAAGGCAGATTTTCATACATAAAATTCTATCAAGCTTCCCTTATCCCAGAAAGCATATAAGCAGGTCACAGCCCAGGAGTATGGATGACATGACAGCATTAAGAGTGGTTTATCTTCAAATTGATGGTAGGTGACAGCAGACTGCTTACAAGCAATAAATCTACAGGACAGAGTAATGGAGGAGCCGCCAGTTATACACATGGGAGAGCCTGGATCCAGTACACTCCCACCCAGTCGTCCTTTCCATATACACGTCAGCAGATTCATTATTTGTAATCATCTACTCTACAGTGTATTTAGATGTACACACAACTAGGTTTCCAAAGCCTCACATAATATTATGTTTTTTTAAATTATTATACTATTAGTTAAAATGCTTTATGATCAATCCCTATTATTATAAACCTTACAATCAAAAATTGCCATTATATTTACTTATAACAACAAGTGCTAATTGAGTTTACCATACTGCAATCTAGTGTTAGTTCTGACAGACAACAAATATATATTTTCCCTTCCGCTTGTTAAAAATGACTCTTCTTCAGTTAGTTACTGTATATATCATGTTGTATAATGTACCTGTCTAAAACTGGGACACACAAAAAAAACTATTTTAACTAGTAGGATAATAAGGACACTGTATACAAACTGGGTTTATAGTGTAATGAACTATGAACAGGTGGACAGCAATAAAAAGAACAGTTTCCTACCCCCCTTGATGAAGCCCTGGGTTTGTCTGCAAGGTATACATATATTAGTGTAAATGTATTGAGCTCATAGTGAAAAATGAATGCAGTAAGGCATGGGCAGGTACCGCATATACCATGATGAGTGGCTATCATATTAAATTATGGGGGGGCTGAACGCAAGAATGGCAAAGATTCCCTTTAAATTCAGATGGAGTACCACAAGGACATATAGTGGTGCTGATAGGCTGAGATGTCACCTCCTGCTCCCATGATAGATACATGGGACCACAGGCATGCTATACCTATGACTGGGGACACGTCTAATAAGACAAAACTTTCATTAACAGAAACTTGTTGAGCAATGATAATTTCAAGAGGAATGTTTTAACATAGTTACATAGCTGGTCTGGTGGAAAAAAGACAAAAGTCCATCCAGTTCAACCAAAAATAAAAAAAGTTATAATCCTATACCCACCATTGATCCAGAGGAAGGCAAAAAACCCAGCAAAGCATGATCCAATTTGCTCAAGCAGGGGAAAAAATTCCTTCATGATCCCCTGAGAGGCAATCAGATATTCCCTGGATCAACGTCACAGGAGACCTAGAGCCCAGCAGGGGACTAGGAGCTAAAAAGTCCCCAAGGGAGCTGGGGCCTCGCTGTCCAAATAACCTGTGCCATTTAACACCTCGTAAAAAGATAATGCAGCCTTCCCAGGAGTTCAAAAGACATTGAACAAGATAACCTTTTTAAAAATCCATTTTTCCCCTATGTCTCCTATCTTGGAATATGAGAGACTTACATAAAAAACCAGGCATATCGTCAGATTGGCCAAGAGGAGACGAACATTTTGGTTGGAATACATAGGAAAGCAGAAAAGTAGATCTTGTGAACCATTCAGTGTAGAATTTCATATTTAATATCTAATCAATCCTCAGATGTGTTCGCATAATAATCTACTCACGGGTGGAGTGTCACTTATGCATATGGAAAGTTATGAGCCAAAGTTTGAACTAGAAGAGATTTTGGCTCTAGTTTAGGCCTACGCCCAGACGATCCCTCCCTAAACGGAGTATTGGTCCTTGACTTCAGAGACACCCCCTGCTGAGGAACTACAAATTGGGTTGTCAGGCCTAAGAAAAGAAGTTGAAGAAGTCTCCCATTTTAACATCAGAACCACCTGGGGAGACCCGTACCCTTTCGCTCTGAAACTTGATCTGCAAACCCAAGGCTGTTTGGCAAGTACTTTAACCCTTTAACCTCCTTCTGTACCTGTTTACTGTGCTGTTGTTCTCTGTATATTTATATATATATATTGGTTACATCTTTTTTTCTGAAAATATTTTTATTGCACCCTTTTTGACCTTTTAGTAATAAATCTTTCCTTCTGAAAATGTTGAACTGTTTCTATAGCTCTTAATTGCAATTTACGAATTCCTGTCTCTAAAAAGAGCGCTACTGTGTTTGTTTAACCCTCTGTATAACGGGCCTGCAGTGACCGTGTTATACAGACGATTATCTCAACCATTATAGTGTTATAGCTGATATTGCTGAGTTTCCTCTTTCTCTGGAGGTGGTAGCAGTGTGAAGGGTTAATTGCATAATTAACCTGACCCAGTAACAATCGCTCAGGCTGCCGGTACATAGATTGTGGTCCAATTAGCTGGAAAATCGTTCTGCAGGGTGCAGCTGGGTTTGGCATTGTTACGCATGTGACATCGCGGTTTTAGATTGGCTAGTCCTTCGGTCACGAGTTTGGTGAGAAGGGCTGGGGTCTGACGCCACCTTCGTCACATATTGGTGGCAGCGATCGTGGGATTGTCACATATTGGTAGCAGCGATCTTGCGTCTGTCACACCTCCCTCTCCGCAGCCCAGCGCTCACTGCATACAGCGGTGGCGAGAACTCAGCGATCAGCGGTCATGTGATCGCTGAATTCTTACCGTTAGAGCCAGATGCAGCATAGGACCAATGCTGCATCCACCTGGGTAAATATAATTTGAAAAAAAAACCCCCCCACACTTCTCTTTTAAAGAACACTGTGCACTGCTTGACTATATGGCTGTCCAATGTCCAGTGTTTTTTTTCCTCACATTACTATGTTCATTAGAAAACTCAGTCATATAGAAGTTTGCTGTTATTGTCATCGAAGCTTCCAGAAATCATGCAGAAAATATAATCTGATACTGCAACTTTTGGGTCACAATGGGCTTAAATTGTGACATATTCCTATTCTTTTGTCTGGTGCTTACCAACTCAAACGAGAGGCTTTCCTTTGTCACGCTGTCAACATCCGGAACGTGAGCCTTGGCTTGAGCTTTAATGTAGCATTTTTCTCCTCCAGCAAAACGAATTCCAGTAATACCCTAAAAAGATAGACACAGTTATACACAATGGCCATACGCCCGTACGCCACAGATCCTCATACTAACTGACACTGTATGCCTTATCTCTTCAACCTGCACATAAATGTACAATGCTTCTTATATAAAAATACAGAAATGTAAGCCAAGTAGAAAAACCAAATATGAATAATGCAACAAGAGGGTAAACTGTTGACTGGCACTGGCAGGAATAAGATCAGAATCACAGGTTTCCTTCCAGTTTATCTTGCACATAGAGCAGGAAATTATTACAATCATGGTTTGTCTATTTCCCCTTAAGTAGATTTTCCTTAACTCTCTTTCCTGGAGACACAACAGGAAGTGAGGACAAATGTCTCAGAAATTATTTAAAATCACCGCTTAGACAGCTGTCACTTAAAGTGGTTGTAAACTCTGTCATATATCCAGTGAAGTGACTGACATCAGGTGAAATACAGCAGTGGTCTCCAAAATGCGGCCCTTTGCTTGCTTTTATCTGGCCCTTGGAGCACTATTTCATCCACTGATACCAATCAACAATGGGGAATAATTCCCCCCCACTGAAACCAATGAAAGAACACAATTCTACCCAATGACTCAAACGATGGGGCACAATTTCTCCCAATGACACTAACAATGGGGAAAATGACACCAAAAATGGGGTATTGTTTTTTCCAACTGACGTTGAGACCTTTTCTACGCTTAATGACTGCAGTCCAGCCCCCCTAAAGTCCAAAGGACAATAAAGTGGATCCTCAGATGAAAAGAAGCTTGTAAACCCTTAGGAGATCCTGTGTACAAAGTATTTGCTGCATTTAAATTCATGCAGGAGTTGCTGTGCAGTGGTGTCCAATAATTAGCCCTGCCTACCTGCCTAGATATCCAACCTCAATGAACAAAGGAGTCAGAGTTCTGACTGGCTGCTCAGGAGGTGAGGGGGCTTAACAGGCAGTGCACAGTGAGCCCACACAGCTCCTGCTCCCAGATGCTGCCAGATTGAACAACACATTGCTGTCTCCTCATCTCTCCTGCCAGCTATTCATGGCACAGAGAGAGTGGAAAGTGTCAGCTTGTGTTGTTGTGAATGATTGCAGCTGAAGAAGACTGCTTTCATTCACCATAACACAAGCTGACAACCACACACACCAGCTACTACACTTACCAAGGGAGACTAGTGTAGTAGCTGGTGTGGTGTTGTCGACTTGTGTTCTTGTAATTGAAAGTGCTCTCCTAAAGCTACAATCATTCACAACACAAGCTGACAGTTTCCACGCTCTCTGTGCCCTGAATAGCTGGTGGCAGGTCTGGACTCAGTGTAAACAGGAGAGATGAGGAGACAGCACTGCACAGCAGAACGATGTTCCATCTGGCAGCTTAGCATGACAGGGAGCAGGGGCTGTGTGGGCTCTGTGTGCACTGCCTGTCAAGCCCCTTCTCCTCGTGAGCTGTCAGTCAGAACTCTGACTACCTTGTTCAGTGAAGTAGAATAGCTAGGCAGGTGGGCAGATACCATTGCTCCGAAACCTGCATAGATTTAAATGTGGCAAGTGGTATGTGCATGGCAGGGATATGGAGACATACTGCAGACTGGAACGGGGGCAGGGTTCAATGATAACTATAACACCCCTCAAATGAATGCACATATTTTTAGGCTTTCTTGGGGTGTACTCAAGTGTGCTGTCCATTCAGAGTGATGTGCCACGATCATAGCTCCTATACACATGCATCCAATGACACAGCAGATCACCAGTAAAGGCAGTTGCTGGTTATCGACTGCACTTTCCCCATGCTGTCATAGTGTGAGGAAAGTACTGCCAATAACCGACAACTGTCAGAGGATGGATCAGCACCGATCATCAGTGCCCTGATGATCAGTGCCCAGCAGTGCCACCCACCAGTGCCGCCCACCTGTGTCCATCAGTGCTACCCACCTGTGCCCATCAGTGCCACCCAGCAGTGCCCATCAGTGCCTAGTGCCTCCCACCTGTGCCCAGCAGTGCCACCCACCAGTGCCCATCAGTGCTGCCCAGCAGTGCCACCCATCAATGCCCAGCAGTGCTGCCAGTCAGTGCCACCCATCAATGCCCAGCAGTGCTGCCAGTCAGTGCCACCCATTAATGCCCCGCAGTGCTGCCAGTCAGTGCCACCCATCATTGTTGCATATCAGTGCTGTCTATCAGTGCCCATGCCCATCAGTGCTGCCTATCAGTGCAGCCTTATCAACGCACATCAGTGAAGGAGAAAAATGACATGTTTGCAAAATTGTATAATAGAAACAAAGAAAAACTTTTTTTTTCAAAATTTTTGCTCTTTTTTTTGTTTATAGCGCAAACATTAAAACACCCAACGGCGATTAAATACCTGAGCACATTGAAAATACATTATAACAAGGTTTTTAACTTTGGTGTCCCAGCAGGACACTTTTAAATGTGAGTGCAGTTTTTTTTTTTTTTTAATAAATCACGCTATATTTATATACTACTCTATGGCCAGTGTTTCTGTTTACATATGCGGAGGATATGTGGGATAAAGAGGAGACGGGACCGTTTGCAGCAGAGTGAGGAGGAAAGAGGAGTCATCTACACAGTATACCTACCTGGGTTAAAAGGGAAAGACGGTATTTGACCTATGCAATTTGGGTCATAAAAGGAGGTGAGAGTACACATGTATGTCTCTGGTGGAGGAGCACCTATAGGAATATATGTGGATATAAGCAATAAAGAGCACCTGTTTGGGAACAAATTATAAAGGCATGGATCAAGCACGCATTATGGACTTTTAAGTTGTATTCAGTGTATTCACCGTTGTTGCATAATCACATGATTTGGATGCTTTAATTCATATATGAGGTTATAGAGATATATGCGCGGCACTGTTTTTGTCCATGATAAATAATGTTTTTTTTTCCCATGCAATGTAACTTGTACTAAAAAAAATTACTAATCCAGAAGGAGTTAAAGTGTTACTAAACCCACAACAGTAAAATCAGTCTGTATATGCAGTAAAGCATGCTTCTTATACTCACTGTGCAACCTAAGGGGTAATTCCTCCACACTGCGTAAAAAGACTGTTTGATCCCGTCTTGTCTGATCCTCCCATTCTTTTGCTGTCCCCAATCTATCTGCCAAAAAGTTAGAGCAGCAGTGGCAAGTCTGCTCATGCTCGGTTTAGTGTGTATTGCTAGAGGTTTTTTTTTGGGAGGGTGCAACGTGATCTACACTGATCAGCACTGTCCATATAGAGGGTCAGCGGTTATGCAGCCTCATAGGACAGTCAGAGCAGAATGAAAACTCCTCCTACAAGTTTAGACAGTGCTCTGCTGGACACAGATAGAAGTCACAAGACTTCTCAAACTGCTGATGAGAAAAGGTATTTAGCAGTTTCTATTTATTAAAATAATTGCATTTCCATGTTCTGTGGACTGTGTAAGACCGGATATAGTGAATTCAGGGTCCTGGACTTAGTAACACTTTTATTCCCTAGCACAGCCCCCTCTCTTCCTGCACTGGACAGTCCACTTCTTTTCCTGGAGCATCTAATTACTCTCTGTGCTGCCCCAGTACCTCTGCCCCTCCCTTTACATCCCTACATATCCTTTCATATGTAGCTACCAGGGGCAGAGCAAAGGAAAATACTACAGATTGTCACAGGAGGGCTGTTTTGCAGGGGTGCTGACATCACATTCAAGATGACAGCTGCCAGTAGCAGTTTCAGGGCTTCTGGATATCTACACAAGGGAGGGTTTTACAGGTAAATACCATTCATTAAATAATATTGCACATATAATATTTTTAGAACAAATTTTGTTGATATGATTCTGGAGACAGGGTCTCCTTAAAGAGAAGGTATGAAGAGGTATGTATAGATCACTAACAACTTGCATATATCACACCTCCGTCTCCAATAAACAACCCTAAATGAAGGTCAGAGTGAATGTCCTTAAAGAGGTTCTAAACTGTCCAAGCCCACAAATGGCAAGCAGTAGACAGTCACCAGTACTACCTGCAGGCATGCTGCAGCTGACTTTTTGCCTTGTTTCACAATGTGTCTCTGTGTGGAGGTTATGTAGAATATTCTAGCATTCCTGGTCCCTTTATTGCCTTCAACCACATATGCGGCTCAATCATTTATCACATAAATAAAAGAAAAAAGAAGGGACTGATAGAGCTCATTGTATTTATTGATAGTGTTTTTAGCCCATTGCTTTTACTAGCCAACAAAAAAAAGCACCAGATCATGCTAAAAATGGTGCTTCACAATAGGCAGTAAAAATGTACCAGTCTCTCACCACTCAGCAAACCCAAAATGGCCGCATGACAACGTCATTGGCTAGGCTACACCCATATACATGTTAAATCCGTTGGGACAGACTTAATCAGTAGGACTACTGTACTACGCTATATTATTTTTTTTTCTTAGTTCTTTAGGGGGTGTTGTGAAATCACTCTAACAGTGTTTAGCTTGCAACTTGTCACAATTTGTTTCATTGTCATATTAGAACATTAATGGGGGGCTGCTCAGGCTGTTTCATGGTCATATATGCATGGAGAACATCAAGAAAAAAGAAGAAGAATCCAAATTATATTCTAATAGAAATCCAAAAAGTATTTCTGCCACCATTTTGCCTTCAATACAAAGCCAGATATAAACATTTAAAACAGTGGTCTCAAAACTGCAGCCTAGGGGCCAGATGTGGCCCTTTGCATGTCTTTATCTGGCACCTGAGACACCATTCCACCAACTGACACCAATGATGGGGCAGCATCCGCCAACTGACACCAATGATGGGGCAACATTCCACCAATTGACACCAATGATGGGGCACCATTCCACTAACTGACACCAATGATGGGCCACCGTTACACCAACTGAAATTAACGATAGGCCACAATTCCACCAACTGACATCATTAGCATTGGCATTGTTCATCCCATTGATTCTAACAATGGGGCACGATTTCTACTACTATTAAAACCAATTATGGGCATTTTCTATTCCCACTGGCCACAGTCCAGCGCTTCTAAAGCCTGAAGGACAGTAAACTGGCCCTTTGCTTAGTAAGTTTGGAGACCCCTGATTTAAAATACACTCATCCGCAGATGTAAACAAGCCGCAGTATATCAATTGAAAATTGTATCAAAAAAGACTAATAGGAACAATCTGACACTCCTGGAAGTGCCAAATTCCAAACAGACTGGCAGAGGCTGCAGTGCTGGAACAGTGGGTAAGTAGGGCACCGGTGCTATCGTAGATGAATACCACCTTTTCTATGCAAGAGACTGAATTCATTATTTCTTTAGAGGCCTGACAGGGTCTGAGTATGTTAAAGATAGTGTGGGGAAGGCAAATATTGTTTTACATGTAATTAAGTATATTTCTTAGTGCTCCAAATTATATTAACATTCCATATCTAGAAAGCCCCAAGTGCCAAGAATTCCAGATAACACATCAGTCTCAGTCTTTACATACATAAAATTAGAAGAAGTGTGATAAAGATATCTACTAAGCATATCTTGCTTTGAGCAAAACGGAGAGAGCCTCTCGGATTGTTAAGAATTACATAACAGTTCTGCTATGGAGTTGTTAAACTGATGGCTATTACTTATTTCTGCTACAAATTTGCCTATCCTGCTTTTTGATTTTTTTTGTTGCTTCACAAGAGTATAGGTCCCTGGCTCATCCAGGGATATTTTTTTTCGAAGAGCATAGTTTTTACACATGGGTGCTCCCTCTGTTGCTTTATGTCTGTTCTCAGCTGGGATCAGCTCTCGGTCTCCATATCTCAGTGCTGTAGTCGTGGAGGGAAGCTGACAATATAGATGAGTGTTAAGGCTGAATGAAACACTGACACAAGGCAATGGCCAAGCCACATTCATACACATTCGATATACGAAAGGGCAGAGACAAAGGAGAGCACATTTTCTACACTGTTAAGTGCAGGAATCCAATGTTCTTTTCAATTATCTATCTGCGTGCATAGCGTTTTGTCACTGTCACAGGAATAGACGTGAACACTGCATATTTGAACTGGCTGAAAGCATCATGTGATTTTTTTTACATTTACTTGTATGAGACTCATGAACTATGTATGCATGTATATAACATCTCATATTTTATCTGCCCATGTATGACTGTAGTTTCGCTAATGCAATTACATACGGACATTAAATTACATACAGACTGTCATTGTTGACTTCCTTCTAGTTCTCTCTGGCTTCAGTACTTTCTGAGTGTTTAACCCATAACAAGCATGTGACCAGTGAAGGATTGGCATTACAGTCCAGCTTTTGTAACCACCATCCATTTTTTTTTATTTCTATGCAAAGGGTCTAGTTTGGGAACACTGCAAAATAAACTGGACCACACCCTCCCCTTTCCCACCAGCATCCATTGTCCTGGTAAAGGTTTCAAGATCAAAGGCTACGTTCACACTAGCCTTGTGTGCAGGCGGCAGAGAGGCGTTTGGGAAGCGTTTTTACCGCTTCCCAAACGCCTCTGCCAATTCTGCACATTACAGCACATGGTGCTGTTCTAACGGGAGCGTTTGCGTCGCGTCGCGTTGCGTCGCGGCAAAACGGACGCCTCTGGACGAGTCAGGAGGCTTTGAAGCCTCCTATTCTCGTCTATGGTGCCGCTCCGCAAACGCCTGGCCGGCGTTTGCGGTGCGGTTGCGACGCGGTTGCGGGGCGTTTGCGGAGCGGTAACACCATTCAAACTGCATTATAGGCGTTTGTGGGGCGTTATTAACGCTCGGCAAACGCCTAGCAACCGCCGCTAAACCGCGCATGCGGCGTTTGCGGAGCGTTTGCCGAGCGTTAAAAAACGCTCCGCAAACGCCGGACCAACGCTTGCCAAACGCTATAGGGGCGTTTGGCAAGCGTTGGCAAAACAGCCTAGTGTGAACGAGCCCAAAGTGTCAAACTGTCTTTCTCTGAAATCAGGGGCAGAGACAGTAGTTCCTGTGTGACTAAAACTTGCAAACAATGGTTGAAGGCTTCATTCATAAATACATTGTAACACTTTTGTTACAATGTATTATGTTTATTACTTATATATAGATCAATCTGCCCTTTTACTTGCACATCACACCGGTTACAACAACTTGCAATTGTAAAAATGAAAATAAAATGTACTGTTATAAAAAGTAGTTCCCATTTAACCCTTTATTAACTCTTTGCGTACCCTAATTAGTCTTTATTAACAGTTTCTCCTTTTTGTATGATTTTTTACTAAAAAGCTTTCATGTTTTTTTCCTTTTCTTTATTCATTTTTGTAGTATTCTATTAAAACACACACTGATCAGTCATAACATTATGAACACTGACA